ACCAGTGATGTCAAGCTCATTTTAATGTGCTGATTGGCTAGCCATTTATCTTCTTTGGTAACCTGTGTTTGCAAATCATTCTGACAGTTTTTAATTGGGTTTTTCTGTTTCCTGGTAAAGCATTGAATGTTCTTTATTTATTCCAGATTAAGTCCGTTACCAGGTATATGGTTTGTAAATATTATTTTTCCGTCTTTTAAATGGCGTCTTTGCAAAGATGCTCACTGTAGGTGACATGCTCACAATGTCTAACTTATGGGTGTGGTCTTTCATGTCTTAATCTTCGGAATCCATATCGAGGATCTCCCAGCAGCTCAAATAGTAATGATATGTTTTTTAATGTTTCGCAGCTGTACATTTTACATTTAGATTTGTAATCCATTTTGAGTTAGTGTTTGTACAGATTGTGGGGCACCAGTTGAGGCTCCTTTAACTTTTGCATACCAGCCTCGTTCTTTTAGGTCTTTCTTTTCTTTATATGGAAGCACCTTTGATTCTTTGCCACAAACCAATAGTTCATATTTGTGTGTGTCCATTGATCCTTGTGTCTAGTCTTTTGTGAATATTGTCTTCTCTTGATTATTGTAAATTTGTACAGGTGATTTAATTTTTCATCTTTTATTGCAAAATCTAAAACTACCTTGTAATCCAGATACACTTAAGAAGTTGAAGTGCATCCTAATTAGTCTCAACAATAAAAACCTGGAGTCAGATATCAGGGTGAAAGCTGAAAGATCAGAGAAGGAGAGCAGCAGCCACTAGAGACTTCTTACCTCTACAACATCTCAGACTGAGTGGGGCATCCTGTCTCTACGAATCCTCAGACTGAAGAGGGGGCCGAGATTCTGTCTCCACCTGCCTTAGATTCCTGTCTCCAACTCCCGAATGCTGGGATTAAAGGTGTGTGCCTCCACTGCCTGGCTCTGTTTCTCTTTTAGACTGGTTCAATCTCGTGTAGAGCAGGGTGGCCTTGAACTCCTGATCTTCCTGCTTCCTCTTCCCAAGTGCTGGGATTAAAGGTGTGTGCCTCCACTGCCTGGCCTCTGTGGTTAACTAGTGCCTAGCTCCGCAATCTGATCTCTAGTCAAGCTTTAGTTGTCAGAGCACAGACAGAATATCATACAACAGGAAACACTATTTATTTTTATACTTATGTCTTAGACACAAAACAATTTTTCTAGCACTGATGTTTCTTTCTTTCGTCATCCTCCATCTTCCAGGTGTGGATGAAGAGTGGGTGGGGTAGGGAGGGGGAATCACACTGATGATGCCTGTGGTACCCTAGTGCAGAGCACACCCCAGCCATTCTAATTTTTGATTTCCAGTGACTCTTGATATAGACAGTGTGATGGCTAATCTCGATTACCAACCTAAGGAGCTTTAGAACCGCCATGGACACACATCTCAAAGTATGTCTGTGAGGAGGTTTACAGAGAGGTTTAACTGGGCAAGAAAGACTCACCCTGAACGTGGGCGGCACTGTGCCATCAGCTGGAATTTTGGACTGAATAAAAAGGAGGTGGACTGAGCACCAGTATCCACCAAAGAGAAGAAAGTGAACTGAGCACCAGCACCCATCAAAGAGGAGAAGGTGGACTGAGCACCAGCATCCACCAAAGAGGAGAAAGTGGACTGAGCAACAGCACCCATCAAAGAGGAGAAGGTGGACTGAGCACCAGCATCCATCAAAGAGGAGAAGGTGGACTGAGCACCAGCATCCACCAAAGAGGAGAAAGTGGACTGAGCACCAGCACCCACCAAAGAGGAGAAAGTGGACTGAGCACCAGCACCCATCAAAGAGGGGAAGGTGGACTGAGCACCCACATTTGTTTCTACCTGGACTGTGGCCACAATGTGGCCACTCCTGCTCCCACTCCTGCTCACACCCCTTCCCTGCCGTGACTGACCGCGCCCACTCACACTGTGAGCCGCACAAGCCCTTTCCTTCCTTCTTGTCAGCTGTCCTGTCACAGCGATGGAAAGTAAACAAGAGAACAAAAGAATGGATTCTGGCCAGGACAGCGTTTCTAAAATGAAGGCGTCCCACCCAGTGCTCACATACAGCACAGAGCATGAGTCTCAGGCACAGAACACAGCTTTCTGCAGAACAGCGGCTTCATGAGAAGCCTTCAACCCCTCCTCACTTTTCAAGTACACTAGATAGGAAGGCAAAAAAAGAAAAGGTAAACTTTTGTTGTTCAATGGAAAAAGGTTCAAAATTAGCCTAAGGAAGAAACTATCTTGGCAGATCATGCAAATGATTTGTTTTGTGTTTCCTGGAGGTGTGACAGGTGCTGGCTGTCATCAAGACCTGCTTGCAAATAAAATGCTAATCTGACCTCAGAATCTTCAAAAAGACTCTAGATTATCTAGTTGGGCATCCTCTGTCTGGTAACTTCAAAAGTTCGATTCTAGATTGGAGCTTAATTTAGTTACTGCATGGCACATGAAATATAAACCAAACACATGTACCTAAACACAAAGCCAAAAGTTTACCTACCTCAGTCACAGACATTGTCTGCTCATGCTGGTAGTAGCTGGTAGAATCTGGTAGTAGCTGCTGGAATCACAGCCAAGAGTCATTGTGAGCAGACAGATGAAAGTGAGTTGCACATAGAGATGAATTTGAATTCCAGATCCATGGCCACCACTCGTTGCCCTTAAGCAAACTGTGCCCTTTGTAAAGCCTCAGACTCCTGACCTGTTAAACATGGGTCATATCTCCCACTTTGGAGGGTCGATGGCAGAACCAAGTAAGATGGGGATCTAAGGGTTCCTTAGTGTCGGGATCGTTGTGTTTAAGAAAAGTCAGTTATCACTCTTTGTCCCAGTTACAGTCCAAATGCACCAGTGCCGTAGCCTGTCTCACAAATCCCGATTCTCTGGGTTTGGGGCAAGCCTGAGCATCTGCATTCTAATTGGTGCTCAGGGGAAGCTGAAGGCAATGTTTTGGATGGTAGGGTGGTAAAAGGTGTTTGCAATTGCAGGTGTCTGGTTGACCTAGCCAGGGTTGCTCAATGCAGCCTGCACATTAGAAGCTCCCAGGAGAGTTACAAAGTGGATGTCTGCTCTACCCCCTGTAAGAACTTCATCTAAAGAAGCCAAATTGGGGGTTTGGGCATTCGGATTTTTAAAATGCTATGGTTTGGTTATGTGTTCCTCAAAGGTTCCTGTGCTGGGGCTTAGCCTCCAGTCAGTGACATTAACCTGGTGGAAGCTTTAAAAGGTGGGGTCTAGCGGGAAGTAATTAAATCCCGAGGGTAAACACTAATAAACAGATGACATCTGTTTTTGAAGAGTGGATAGTTACAATGGGAAGCCACCTCAAGTGTATGGCCATCCCTTTCTGCTTCTTCACCCTGTTGTGACACAGAAAGAGCTGGATGGTGGCACCAAGCTTCCTGGACCCTTCACCACCAGAATCTTGAGCCTCATTATGAAGTTCACAGCCTTAGATGATTTGTTAAAACAACATGGAATGGGCTGAGGCCTTGTCCCAGAAGACTCCCATGTCAGGCAGGCTGAGGCCTTCTGCTTGGTTACTCTAACGTGCAAACAGCCTTGAGGAAGAACTCTTCACAGACTCGATTATGAGTGTTTTCATTTCCTCTGTGAAGTGAGATGACACAAAATGTCGAGAGTTATAGTATTTCAGAAGTATGTTGCATCTCCTAAACTACCCATTTTAGAGTAAGCAATCAAGCCCCAGACTTCGCACATCTTGGAAGCTGTAACTGAGTCAAAATTCGTCAAAATAACAACTCTCAGTCATTCTGAGGTATTCTGATGCATGATTTATGTTGGTTAATTGCTCTTTCCTCTTATGAATGTTAGCCCCCAAATGCCACCTGCCTGAAAGGTAAAACATTTTGTTTCTAAAGCTGAAGCCATCTACTCTACAAAGCAGAGGGAGTAAAGGTTGAAAAGAAAAAGAGAAGCCATGTGTTTGTAAAAGGCTGGGCAGTAATGAGGGAAATTCTGCTGTTCTTTGGGGGAGTTCCAGAGGAAGTACAAGCGGTCTCTCTCTCCCATGAGAAGAAAGTCTAGAGTGATAAACAGCTGAGCTAAGTCAGTCAGCACATCTCCACATCCATCCAGACACACAACTGACCTTCCTTGTACACCTATCTCCCACGCCCCCACCTCTCTCCCTGCTTTCTATTTGGGTGTCTGTAATTTAAAATGGGGAATGGGATTCAATAGTAGTAAACTCCTAAACTAAGTGCTCAGAAGGTAGCTAGTGTATTTTTGATGAATGAGTCATACTTACGGACCCCCCACCCCAGGGCAGAGTGGATTTGGTACAAAGTATCTGTTAGCTGTAAGGGAGTGAAGGGTTTAGAGATGATTTCTGGTATAGCCATTTTTCTCCTTGGCTGTGCCAAAGCACCTGCTGAAAATAGTTAATGGAAAAAGGGTGTGTCCTGCTTCACAGTTTGCAAGAACACAGTCCATCCCGACAGGAAAGGCACCGCGGCGGCCCGAGTGGGGGCAGCTGTCACATTGCATCTGCACTCAGAGATGCGTGCTGGTGCTCAGTCCTTGGGATGGGGCCACTCACATTCAAGGTGGCTCTTCCTTGCTCAGTTAAGCCTCTCTATGGACCCTTTCACAGACATGCCCCAGGAATTATTCCCTATGTGTTTCTAAATCCCATCAAATTGTGAAAACTAATTATTACAGTTCCCATAATAATGGATCTTAACATGAAGAGGGTCCTGTTATGGAAACTATGGGTAAGGTACATAAGAACTTGTGGTTTCAGCATGCAGTGGAGTCTCCAATTCGGAATTGTGTAGGGAAATCCTGAACTATGGCATCCTTTTTCACTAGTACGATCCTGGGTCTTCTCAGCCTGATTAGCTTTCCAGCAAGGGCATGCCTGATTAGCAATGCTTTGCAAAGGAGCACACACTTTCGAGCCTTTTTCTTGGCTCCGTGCTGCACAAACAAAGGCTGGGCATGTGTTCACCTTCTCTGTGCCACAGACCTCCGTAGAAATGCACCTTACTGTTCCAGCTGTAGTTAAGGCAGAGAATGGAGGAAATAAACTTGCCAGCATTTCTGGTAAAGCTCATTTGTGCCTATCATTGTCCAGTGTGCTGGATGATAACCAAGATTTGCTGGTTCGTGTGATCTCTTGCAAAATATACCTTGGTGAGAAGTAAATATAGTCGGGCTCATATTCTTTTTCTTCACTACACTCTCCTTTCCCTCCCCTGATTCTCCACAACTGAGATTAATGTGCTAGATACTAGAAAAAATACCAAAGCAAACTTGATCTTATCATTAACTTCTAAGGTTCAAAGAGTAACAGAAGGAAAAGCTTGAGCTAGAAGAGACTTGCAAGCTGAGTATGGTACCACACCCTGGCCACCCCAGCACCCAGGAGGCTGAGGCAGCAAGGACTTGAGTCCAAGACCATATGAGGCTATGTAGCATGGCCCTGTCTCACAAAAGAAGACAACCTAAAGGAGGGTTGCAGTGTGAATCATCAGCCAGCAGGAAATTCAAAGGTTACTCATCCTATGGAGTCAGGTCAGAGAATGGACAACCATCCTGGTTCATTAAATAGTTTGCCACAGTTGTGGTATGCATCTGGAATCTGAGGACCTAGAAGGCTGGGAGACAGGAGGAGTACAAGTTATCAGCCAGCCTGGGCTACATAGTGAGACCCTGTCCGTGAAAGAAAGAAAAGAGAGAAAGGAGAGAGAGAGAGAGAGAGAGAGAGAGAAGGGAGGGAGGGACGGACGGACGGACGGACGGACGGACGGACAGACAGACAGAACATCCTGGCTAATAAAGAATGGCTGCACATTCCATATATGGATTACTGCTTTCCCAAGAATTAAACCATCGCCTGGAAGAATGTTTTCCGAGTGCCTGCTAGCTGACCCACATGGGAGACACGTATTTACCTTGCCCAGATTTTCCCACCGAACCAAGAGATAGATCAGCCCCATGAAGAGAAAATGGACAGATTCGTAGAAGTCAACTGACAGGCCCCCACTCAGAGGCTCCCAACTAATCTGGATACTGTTGGGATTTGAATCCAAGCTCACCTGTCACTAAATGAAAATATTTAGAAAACACCCACAGCTATTTGATGATCAGATTATTTGATTATATGAATTAATGAAAGAGATCTGTTGAGTATAGTTCAATCCAATTTTCTGCAATGATTCAGAAACGATTCCAAGATCTTTCCACACCCCCATCATCAGGGTGTCCTTTCAATACTGATAGACGCAGCACACAGTTCCCATGCTCTCTACACACAAAGACTGCCTTTCTAGCCGGGCGGTGGTGGCGCACGCCTTTAATCCCAGCACTCGGGAGGCAGAGCCAGGCGGATCTCTGTGAGTTCGAGGCCAGCCTGGACTACCAAGTGAGTTCCAGGAAAGGCGCAAAGCTACACAGAGAAACCCTGTCTCGAAAAACAAAAAAAAAAAAAAAAAAAAAAAAGACTGCCTTTCCTGTTTCTGCTGTGTTGCAGGCTTATTTAAATTAACTTGGCTTTTAAAATACAAGCAAACAGGTCGCTCTGTACAGGCAGAAACCCAGTAACACTTTAGTAAAACAAAGGCTAGAAACAAAAGCAAATACTGTTTTTATTTATTTATTTAAGTTTTCTACTGATGCTATGCATCTTCCTGGGAGCTCCCTGCCTTCGTAAAAGAAGAACTATTCATTCCAAAAGAATAAGCGTCCGGTTAGAAAACATGTAGTTGAAGGATTGAAATCAAATTGAAGAGGGGGAATTTTCTCTCTAAATCAACACCCATTAGTTAACCTTTGATTCTGCCCCACAAGAAATTACCTGCGTGTCTCTGGTGAGCTGCGCCCCTCATCCTGGGAAACACTGCAAATAGATGCTACAGCTTTTCAAGTTAGACACCAGTGGGCCCTGAATTGTAGCCATATTAACTGTATTCTTGGAGCCAATGTCTTTGAACAAAGTTATAAAATCCTAATGACAACACAGGGTTCAGGTCAAGAATACAGTACTAAATAATATAGTTTTAAAGTACCTTCTGTGAAACTTGGCCAATAGTAGTAAAACATAGTTCCATTTTCCCCCCTTTGACTTTATTGATCCAAAATAGTGAACGTCTACAGTGGGTTCCTATGTCTTGGTGGTTACCGGTGAAAGGCAGAGAAATACTGCACTGGTCTTAGCTGTGCACTCTCAGGCAAGTAGATTAACCTTTCTGTGCCTCATTTCATTGTCAAAAGGGAGGTAGCAATGTGCCTGTCTCACTGGCTTCCGGGGGGACTACATGAGGTGCTGGTGTATCTCAGAGCTCTGTAAGAGGTGGATGTCCTTATTCTCACTGGTTAGAGGTGGTGATACTTGGCAAAGAGAGGTAAAAACTAAAGAAAATCAGCCCAGATGATAAGATCTATGACAGTAAATAAAATGAAAGTAGCCGTCAGTGGTAGGGCAGCCTATGGTCTCACAAGAAGGATGCTCTAAGGTGGGAGATGTTGTTGGGGGCAAGCAGGCTTGTCCATCAGAAGCTCCTGCTGGGGTGTTCTGGAGAAGGAGGAGTGTAGATCAGCTGTGTGGGTGGGAATGTTCAGAGAAGAAAATCACCTCAGTGTGCTGAGACAAGAACTCCACTGTTTTTCTTTTCTTTTTATTTTATTTTTTCGAGACAGGGTTCCTCTGTGTAGCTTTGCGCCTTTCCTGGAACTCACTTGGTAGTCCAGGCTGGCCTCGAACTCACAGAGATCCGCCTGGCTCTGCCTCCCGAGTGCTGGGATTAAAGGCGTGCGCCACCACCGCCACCAGGCAAACTCCACTGTTTCTATATGGGACAGGGGGAAGGGAAGAGAGGAGCCCAGTAGAAAGCCAGAGGAGGACAGGGGTCTCCTGGAAGATGAGGGAGGGGTGGCTCACAGCTCCCGTTCTAGAAGAACTGAACTGTGACAGAATCAGACAACATCAAGCTGTCTTTCCCTTTCAGCTTTGTTCACGGTGACAGTCCCCAAGGAAGTGTTCACAGTAGAGTTCGGCAGCAACGTGAGCCTGGAGTGTGATTTTGACCACAGGGAATGCACGGGGCTCGAAGAAATAAGAGTCAGTTTGCAGAAGGTAGAAAATGATACCTCTTCGCCAAGTGAGAGAGCCACCCTCCTGGAGGAGGCGCTGCCCCTGGGAAAGGCCTTGTTCCACATCTCCAGTGTCCAAGTGAAGGATGCGGGGCAGTACCGCTGTCTGGTCATCTGCGGGGCCGCCTGGGACTACAAGTACCTGACGGTCAAGGTCAAAGGTGAGTGTTTGCAAATGATCGCTGATGGAGGGACGTGACCGCTGCGCCGCACCACAGCATGCTGCTCTCAGTAGCTCAAACAAAAGCTGGAAACCGGCTTGAAAAAGGCAGCTACTTCAAAGGGGGGAAAAGCGCCTGGCTGGAAATACTTTTTGACATCCAGTGTAAGAAAAGGTACAGAGGTTAAGCAGCAGACACAGTGGGGTAGAGGAAGTCAGGAAAATGAGAAGACTTCCTGCCTCTTCCTCGGCTGGACTCAGGACTCCCTTATGCAGAAGATTTTTTCCTTAAAGCAATGCTCCTCACGGAGGGAGGGACCTGTTGATTCCCACGGACTCTCCGAGGGAAGAACCAGTATGGGTGTCTAGCTCTTCACCGTCCTCAATCTCTTTCCCCAATTGACGAACCTGAGAACGGACCGCCAGGCAAAGCTGTTAGGGTTCCCCTGAAACACCCCTTCTTCATGAAGGGCCTGCCTCCCTTCTCAAATACAATCCATTGACCCAAGGTTTAAAACCTCCACAGTGTCAGACGAGGGTGAAAAGAAACCCTGACGCTCCACAGAACAGGACGGCTGCTGCTTTTTACACGGCAGCTGTGAAATGCTTTGCTTCCAACAGAACTGGAGGATGATGAGGACCCTCACCTAGAGACAGTAGCTGATAATCAAAAATTAGCAACTTTTGCCTGATAAACTATGTCTTGCAAATTGCTTCCAATTCCTACTAGGTAATTCATATGAACAAGATTTAGCTACAAAATTTTTAAAAATTAAATTAAATTAATGTTGAATTCTACCTCACAGAATAGTCCTAAACATAATCTATAAGCATTTTCAGATTGATGAATAACTTGAATGATACATCCAGTACACTTTTATTTTTCACACTTAATAATTGTCAATATCCACGATATTTTACATTTTGATAATATGTGTTGATAATGGTAATGAAATTACATTATAGAAGAAAACTTTGGACACCTGAAATCCCACAGTAATAAGGAAAATTTTAATTTCAATAGCTGTACATATTCTGCTGTTAAGTGTAAGACAGTTAAGGATGATAAATCAGAGAACTACCAGACATATGTGTGTGTGTGTGTGTGTGTGTGTGTGTGTGTGTGTGTGTGTTTTGTAAGAATGATACAATTATTTGTTGAAAATACGAATATTTATAAAATGCTAAATATGTATTTTTCAATATAGAAGCTTATGAAAAAGTCTAAGAATCAAACTGACACACAGGAAAACTAGGACACACACTGTCCTAATTTTCATCAGAGGATTGTGAGCAGAGAGCAGTGTTGAAGACCAGCAGGCAAGAATAACTTACTGTGTTGCAGAACCTCGGATCTGAGGCCGGGGGAAGAATCCTACAGATGAAGAATGTAAGAGAAAGGTTTAGTTTTACCTTTAAATCTGGGGGACAGATCTGAACAATAGGTCTGTCACACCTCTCTCCACACAGGGATTTATACTAAATATAGGGAAGAGAGTTGATTTCCAAAGGACAGAAAAACAATGAGGCAGAATGAAGAGAAGATCTAGGGGAGATGGTGGCTTCCGGAAAACCACGCTGTAGCCACGTGACTAAGAGCCATCGGTCCATGGTGGTGGGAGAGAGGCTGAAGCAGATTACCGAGGCACCGAGAGAGGCCAGGGCCTCCCAGAGCTGCTGAGGTTGAGAGGTGGCCGGCAAAGAGGACTCCAGGCAGGCCCAGAGCAAGAGCACACTGGGCCACAGTCCAGCTGGAGCCAGGCATAGGAACAGATGAGCCATTGTGGGGAACGAACCAAAGTTTACCAAAGTACTTTAACCCAACACAAAGGCCCAGGAAGGTATGAGTGTGACCTCAGCAGGCTGAGGAAGGGGCCAACATGGCTCCCATTGCAGGGAATTCACCCCAAATAAGGCGGACAAAGGGCTGAGCAAAGGAAGCTGGAAGAGAAGCCCTGGGTGGAAAGGTGGCTGGCATCTGAGACTCTGGGCCCAGGGAAAGCATTGGCTGAAATAACCTACTGATGGAGTCGCATCTCTTCCCTCAGCTCCTTTCCCCTTAGGGATCAAAGGAATAAGGCTATCAGAGTGAAGAACACATTGTTCTGACTTTCCAAGGGAGTCAAGCTTTTGGAATTACAGTCTGACCCTATACTATTCTGCAGGCTGTTAAATGACAGATTGAAAGTAATCCCTAAAGATTTATTTCAGTGATTATTTGAAGTTTTCCTGGATCCTGTAAGACAAAAGCATATAAGAACTGTGTTTCCTACTTTATTTACAGTCACTATGATGATTAAGATAATAATGCTGTATGCACAGTTTGTTCTTAGAAGGGCTATGGAGGCTGAGAGACAGCCAAGAGCACTTACTATGCAAGTATAAGAATCTGAGTTCAAATTCACAGCACCCACATTAAAAACAATGCATGACTGTATCCTCAGTGCTGTAGGGCAGTAACAGGTAGGACGTGGGAGCTCACTGGCCAGTCAGCCTAGCCAAAACAGTAAACTTCAAGTTCAGTGAGAGACCCTGACTCAAGGGAATGCCATAGAGAATAAGACAATCAGGGTTTTCTTCTGATCTTCACACGAGCATGCCCACCTGTACACACACATGCTCACAGAAACATATATCATATATGCCACATACATACCCCCCCAACATGGACATCCCACCTGTACACACATGCACATAGAAACGTACACCACATACCCTCTCTCCCAACACACACATACCAGAGAAATAGGAACCATGAAATTTGTAGAAATCTGAAGTAGAAAATAATCATTCTTTTAAGATTAAGCATTGAAAAGTCATCAAGGGACCAAGGGAATAGTACTAAGAAAGAGGTAAAGGGGAAAGCTGGGCCAGTGGAACCTTGGAATCATCACTTGATAAACTCTTCAGTGAGAGCTAGTGCCAGGATATAAAGGATTCTGCTGCTAGAAACCATCAGAACAGAGAGGGAGGGAAATATCCTTTAATTAATGAGAAAGCTGAGAGTTTGAAAGACCATGTCACCAGCCCTTGGCTAATGCCTTTCAGATTCTCAAGACCAGGTTCTTAGACACTGAGCTTATTATATGTGTTTTACTCAGCCAAACAAGTGTCTGTGGGATGAAACTGACGACATAAGAATGAGCTTCTCAGTGGAAGTTTAATTACTTATTGTGCTCATGGCAAAGATAGCTTCTGGGGATGCAGGGGCTTCCATTTATAGAAATAGTTAACTACAAGTTAGGTAGTTAACTGATCGCTATTGTGAGAAAAATAGATATGCTAAAGATAAAAGGCAGTGTTTTCAGTTGGTCTAGGCACAATGGAAATCAGAATAGAGGTTCCTTAGAAAACTAAAAATAGTACTATCATTTGATCCAGCTATAGTAACAAAGAACAAAATCATGCCATTTAAAGGAAAATGGATAAAACTGGAAACCATTGTGTAGAGAGACATAATGAAGACTTGGGAAGAAATGTACAATATGTTTGGTCTTATCTGTGGAATCTAAGGGGGAAAGGGACACCATCAAAGTAAAAGGGGACTGCCAGAGAGAAGGAAAGGATGGAAGGGGGGATGTAACTGAGGATAATGGGAGGGTAACTGTCATCCAAGGACAGTCAGTGCATGTATGAAAATGCCATAGAAAGAATGGCAGCATCTTTAAAAAGTCACATTTCATAATGATAAACATCAGCTCTATAGAGAGAAATGACTATTCTAAAGGTATGTGCATCTGACAATGTAGCTTCACTATGTTAAACATAAATTAGAAAGTTGACTATTCTTCCCTTGAGCCCCACCCACTCTCAGTTCTTTTCTTTTACTCTTTCTTTTAAATTGTTTTTATATTTTGATATTTTTACATTTTATATTTTACATTGATATTGATATAATTATATCATTTTAACTTTCCTTTTCATCTCTCCAAACCCTCCAGTATACTCATCTTTTTTTCAAAGTCATGGCCTCCTTTATCTATATATCTATCTATATATATATATACACATATATTTCTGCGTACAAGAATACAACCTGCTCAGTCTGTACAATGTCACTTAGATGTGTGTTTTCAGGGATGACCATTAGTATTAGATAACCAATTGGTGTTCTCTTCCCTGGGGAAGACTGTCTCCCACTCTCAGCATCCCTTAGCTGCCTGTAGGCCTTTGTGTAGAGTTGAGGCCTCCCAGGCTTTTCTCATTCTCTTAATAAATCTCAGTTCTCTTTGATCAAAAACAATTGGAAGACAAAATGAAGAAGAAGAAAAAGGAGGAGGAGGAGGAGAGGAAGAAGAAGAAAAAGAAGGAGAAGGAGGAGGAGAAAGAGGGAAGAGGAGGAAGAAGAGGAGGAGGAAGAAGAAGGAGAAGGAGGAGGAGAAGGAGAGGAAGAAGAAAATGAAGGAGGAGAAGAAAGAAAGAGGGAAGAAGAGGAAGAAGAAGGAGAAGGAGAAGAAGAAGAAGAAGGAGGAGGAGGAGGAGGAGGAGGAGGAGGAGGAGGAGGAGGAGGGGGAGGAGGAGGAGGAGGAGGAGAAGAAGAAGAAGAAGAAGAAGAAGAAGAAGAAGAAGAAGAAGAAGAAGAAGAAGAAGAAGAAGAAGAAGCAGCAGCCAGATGAGTGCATATGTGAACTTTTGATTCAGTTCTGCTGTAACAGATAGGACAAAATATGCAGCAGCAGACTTGAACAACTCAGCCACCCTGACCTAATTGATATGAATAGAACACCATTCTCAGATTGTTTCTAGGTTCATGTCTAACACTCACCAAGATAGTTATCTAGCCAAGTTGCCAGAGAATAGATTCCTCATTGAGCAGGAAGTTGGAACTCTTGGACTTTTAAAACTACCCACTTGAAACGCTAAAATCTGCTCATCTTTTCTCAAGAAAAGTCTAGCTTCCCTATTATGCATCGTTGGGGATGATGCCTCCCTAGCCACTTCCCAAATGAAAAAGGCTGTGGAAGCATTTTTGATATCGTAACTGTAAGGTGTGGGTTTCTATCCCTTACCCAAATCATGCTGGTTCTTTTAGCTGAATATCTATCCCTTTGACATGTATCCCTTCATTTACATATCACAAGGCAGAGTCTCAGCCAAGCCCTGATTCCTGGTCCTCCTCTTCTGAGTCACCTCTCTGCTCAGCCCAGATCAGTTTCTTGTTTGGAACTGTCCTGCAGGAGCTGGCTGGACTTCACCTACAACAGATTATCCAATAAGTCTAGGCTGGTTGTTTTTGGGTTGTTTTGTTTTTTGTTTTTTTTTCAAATTTACACACTAATTCCCAAAAGATAGAAATGTGATGCAGTGTAGTAGAATAAAATAGTTCTAAGAGGATGCTGCACCAAGAGGGAAAAGGTGTGGCTAAATTAGAGGTAAAGTGACTACTTTGTCTGCTTCAGATAACGGTTTGACTGCCAGAGACAGTCCAAAACTTGGTTCCAAGGAACTTGGTAAGACTAGGCCAAATCGTTCAGTAGACTGTGTCAGAACCCAATTCTCTTCCTTTTCTCTGAGTTCTAGGTATTACTAGATCCATCAAGAGAATACGTTGTTCCTGCCTGTGTTGTGTCTCATCCCTTTGTGGCATGTCTAATGCGAAGCAGTGTGATAAAATCCAGGAGTGCACATCTCCCCACAATCTCGAGGGTTCTATTGTTTCCCTGTTTGCAAGCTAAGAATCCGCATTTTACCAACTTCTTACAGTCCTTATCTACTTTAAATAAGATAATGTCTAGGGACAGGGCTAGGGCCAGGTTTTATGGTCACTTAACCTCTGCTGTTCGTTAAGCTTTTGGAAAAGTGAGCAACACACAAGAATGCACAGCCATATGGGAAATGAGCACCACACGTTAAGTGGATGGCTGTGTGGCCACATGATTCTCCCCTTCTCTCCCTGTTTGGGGTGTCTCTGGATGACTTACACTGGAGAACGTGAATAAGAACAGAGAGCCCCTTCTTCCTTGCTCCCTCACCTTGACCGAGAAGCACGGACTTGCAGTTCAAACCCTGTTCTAGCTCCATTTCTGTGGCTGTGACCAAATACCGTGCAGAAATGCAACTTAGAGTTGAGGGGTTTATTGGGCTCACAGTTCCAAGTTATAGTCTGTCACTGAAGGGAAATCAAGGCAGGAACTCAAGGTAGCTACTCATATCACATCCCGAGTCAGGAGCAGATGGAAATGAATGCCTATGCACCTACCTGCTTGTTTGTGCTCAGCTTGGTTTCTCTACTTTCAGGTAGTTCAGTCCCACCTGCCTAGGACACTGTGCCACCCATAGTGAGCTGGGACTTCCCATATCAATTAACTTAATTAAGACATTACCCGATAGGGGTGCCCACAGACCACCTTGGTGTGGACAATCCCTCATTGAGATGGTCCCCCCCAGATAATTCTAGAGTGCATCAAGTTGGCAACTAAAGTTAACCATCACATCACAGACCCCAAGTCTTCTCATTAAAGATAATAAACAAACAAATAAATAAATAAATAAATATTTTTCTAAAGATGGCCCAGTCTTAACACCACTTTAAAAAAGAAAAGAATATAAAAGGCCACAGAATGTGGCATCTTAGCATAGTGCTAAGATATAAGTTTGCAGCCTTTCTATTTTCAAACATTGGGTCTACCAGTCTTTATTCTTCTGACTTTGGACACCACTCTCAACATACCTGTCTTCAATTAACCCCAACAAAAATTGGGGATAACAACATAGCATCTTTGTTGTATTATATGAATTGAACTATTCAATCTATGCAAAGTAATGTACCTGGGACATAGAAAATATTTTTAAAATAAAAGAAAATGTATTACCTAATAGAGACCATTTTATTTCCTCTTGCATTGAGTAGAATTCTACAGCAATCAGAATATAATTTCTTTTTCTTCTGTTGTCCAGCTTCTTACCAGAATATAGACACTAGGATCCTAGAGGTCCCAGGAACAGGGGAGGTGCAGCTCACCTGCCAGGCTAGAGGTTACCCCCTGGCAGAAGTGTCCTGGCTTAACGTCAGTGTTCCTGCCAACACCAGCCACATCAGGACCCCTGAAGGCCTCTACCAGGTCACCAGTGTTCTGCACCTAAAGCCACAGCCTGGCAGAAACATCAGCTGCATGTTCTGGAATGCTCACATGAAGGAGCTTACTTCAGCCATCATTGGCCCTCTGGGTAAGTGCAGCCCCGACTTTCTAGCTCTATCAATCAGAGTTCATGTAAGAAACAGATGGCGTGCTCACATGAGCCATTTGAGGAAGGTGTCATAAAGGGACTCTCCGGGAAGTCAAAGTTGAATCTAGAAGAATTACAAGGACAGAACAGAACAAAGATCTCTTAAGCAAGAGTCGCCACTGCTGGAGAGGCTACCGGGAGAAGGGCAGCTGTGGGGACAGCACCTCTTCGAGTGCGGTACCTGAGCAACCTCAAGGAGGGAAGTCTGTGAATGACAGATACCCCAACCACACCTCAGGTCCTCCAGTATCCTGCTGGTGTCTCCCATTGGCTGATCCCAGCAGGCTTCTTCCAGAAAGGTCAACATTGGATCTCAGAGCACAGTGTTACAGTACAGAAAATGGATCTGAAGAAGCTGTAGAAACATCTCCTGTGATTCATGCCCAGAGTGCTAAGTGAATAGCATGGGTGTTGTTTGTCTGGCTGTACTGCTGGCTAATTGGCTATGTGGCATCCCTAAGAAACTGATCTCTTACAAAAAAAATCATTCAGTTTGACTGGCCACGCTAGCTAGTATTAGAAGTGGATTTCATCCTTTTGAATTTCTGCACCAGCAAGATTGTAACCATTTTTTTTAAACAAACCAATAACTTTTTGTGCCAGGTAAGAGCATTTGTTTGATAACTAAAATCTATCCACTAGAAAAACAATCATTTCCTAAGAGACAGGAACTTTTTTCCACCGTGTATGTAGTTCTTATTGCTCCCATAATTGTCACAAATGTAATGGTTCAAAACAACAAAACTTTATTATCTTATACTTCTGGAGGTTTGAAGTCTAATATAGGTTTCACTGAGTTCTAGTCGAGGTGAGTGAGGATTAGAGGTCCTAGGAGATAATCCACATTCCTGCCTTTTCCAATGTCATCATCTGTATTGCATGGCTTGTGACTGCTTCTTCAAAGGCAATAGTCACATCACCCAGCCCCTTTTCTCAGACTCTTCCCCTGACTCTCTTTCTCGTGAACCTGGGGCTTTAGGAGATGCCCCCACCTGTGGAAATATATGTGTCCAAATAGGTTGAGATTTGGTTGGTACCGAAATCCAAAGGATGAGACCCACTTCCAGAACTAGCTAGCATGACCGGTCAAGTTCTGAATAATTTAATAAGAGACCGATTTTCTTGGAAATGTCACTAGAACCAGTTAACTGGCACCACAGTCAGCAAAATAATATAGATCTTACTCACTTAGGCTCTGAAAGGGACCCAGTGGGAAATGCCTCCGTGGTCAGTGTTGGACAGAAGGAAAATCCATTCTGTCCTGGCCGCATTATCTAGCAGCGATCCTCTGCCTGGACCTTGGTGGTTTTCCACTTTTTCCAGAGAATGCTAGTTTTTATTTTTTCAATTGTATGAATCATTGGTTGAAAGGAAACCTAATCATGAAAGATGGAGTAAGACTTCCTCTTTCTCTCTCCCCTGCTCCTCCTTACTTAGAGCAGGCAGAGGAGGAGCAGAGGAAATGTGTACCACAGGAACTACCTCCCCTCCCTTTGTCCCTTCTGCTTAGATGGCAGCCCTGGATGAGAGGCCCAGCCTTTCCACACCTCCACACAGAACCAACCCTGACTGTGAGCAGGAATCAAGCAAGGAACCGAGCAAGGGTTCCTGTTCTTGGAGTGGGACAGGTGGAAGGTTGTTTGTTTGTTTGTTTGTTTGTTTGTTTTGAGGGGAAAGGAGGTGGTTCTCTGGGCAAGTTGTCAGATCCAAAAGGATTCAGGACCCCAATAGGAGCAGGCACTGGTCTTAAGTCAGGGAGTTCTGACACAAGAGAAGACAACTGGTCGATACAGGAAACAGAACTGACAGAAACACATAAAAAGACACACGGAGGCAGACACACACACACACACACACACACACACACACACACACACACACACGCACACACACACACACACACACTAAAGACAAGCTGAGGTAGCCACTGCACACTCATAAACCTGAACAGATGGGGAACTCAGTGATGCCTCACGTGGATCCTGGACACTGGATCAGTGGCAGTGTCCGCCTGGCCTCTCCTATGTGTCCAAACAGAAGGTGCCTTAACCAGTCTTACCTCCTGAGGTGACAAAACAGGTAACTTTCTAATTTGTTTCCTTTTGAGGTGGAGGTGTCAGAGTCCTCCAAAGCATTAGGCATTCATTGATCAAAGGGAGCCCTTGGGGACCCAGAACTCCAGTTTTGCACCCTCTGCCCCAGGAGTCCCCTGACCACTACACTCTTCCTCACTTTAAGGAGCTCAGAGACCCCCAGTGTCTCAAGGTCTGGTCTCTGGGATCTCTGTGGGACCTCCAGAAATGTGAGGTATCTACCAGAGAAGACAGCTCGGACATGGGTTTAATCCAATAGACATTCTTTATTAGCCAGCCAGCCACTATACTCGGTGTTCTGGATCCCAGTGTAGCCTCAAGCCTTTCTCAGGGTGAGTTTTTAAGCACACACAAAAAAAAGTCCCTATATTCTGGATTGACATACTTCAGTTAACAAGAACAGTTAGCCAGAAGCAGAATTATAGAATCCAAACAGCAAGGTTAGTACATTTAGAGACTTTCCCAGAACTATGGACTTTGATGGACTAGGCCTTTGTTTTCAATTGGGGAGGTGGTACTTTGTCTATGTGCTGAGTTTTATGACCTGAATGGAATCCCATAATGGAGTCAATTGTGCTGAGGTCTGGGGACTTACTGAAGTCTGGGACCCTGTCACAATACCTTGTCCACTTCCACACTTTCTTTGTGCCATAAGCTCCTTTCCCATAAAACAACATCATTTGGCAGTCCCCAGCCTACCCTGTCCCTAAGACACCTCATACAGCTTCAGAGTCAGACTCTCATCTTGCTCATTCAAATCTTTTACCCACATGATGTTATTAAGATCTTTACCCACATCACTTGCTTGTTTTTCTGTGACTGTTATCTTTTCTCATTTTTTTTTTTTTTTTTTTTTTTGGTTTTTCGAGACAGGGTTTCTCTGTGTAGCTTTGCGCCTTTCCTGGAACTCACTTGGTAGTCCAGGCTGGCCTCGAACTCACAGAGAAACGCCTGGCTCTGCCTCCCGGGTGCTGGGATTAAAGGCGTGCGCCACCACCGCCCGGCTCTTTTCTCATTTTTTATGTGTATTGTTTTTTCATAGTTCACAGGGTTCCTCTTTATATCCAGACCATAGTGAAAGCAGAATGCTCTGCCCATGAGGAGAGCTTAAGAAATGCTTCAGTGTTGGGTGGGAGACACCGTCTCGAAGACCCCAGCTCCCTCATCTCAGCTCCTAGTCTGGGTGGACAGTCAGATCAGACATGATGCCCTGATCTGTGACACACAAAACAGCGTCAGGATAACCACAGTCACATGTCCTCCCAGGGGGTCCTCACTTCTACTTCTTAAGGGCATTGCCTAGCTGACTTATAACCATCCTGTTTCTACTCATTCTCATAAACTGAGCTACTCACCCACTGCTGACCGCCGTGAACCACGTCAGGCTTCTCCAGAAGTCAGTGAATAAAACAGATGCAGAAATGAGAGCTCAGAGGTGGGAGGGTGGGAGCGGGGGGGGGGGGGGGGCTGCCACTCAGGGGACAGAAGGCTGATGAATTTGGGCGAAGTTAGGGGGTTATCAGTTCATTTTCTTTCAGAAACGGGGCTGTCCTCTGCCAGTTGCTGCACTTTCATTGGGAAATGTAACTGGGCTAGATTATAGGAATGACTGTAAAATACCTGGTGGGGCTGGCAGAAAAGTGAAGCCCCCCCCCCCACCCGGGCACATCTGGAGGGGAATCCAGGCAACAGAGAAGAATGTGGGCTCTGGAAACAGTCAAATTTCAGATGCGGTCTCTGCTGCCTCTCGGCTTTAGAACTTAGCATCCTACAGGGCTGTCCTAGAACTCGTCCCTCAGCCACACGGCGAGAGTGAGTAAAGATGCCCGTGTTAAAAGGTTACTGTGGTAGTTAAATGAAACACGATGCTAAAGGGTGAAATGAAGGAAAACTAAGTCACCTCCCGCAAGATTCCTGGCTTCTTTCTGAGCACACGGGTCTGCGGTAAGAATAGGACAGATATATTTTTTTTTTAACCATTGCTTATCTTGTCATTGTGAAAGAGAATGCAGCTATAATAAAATAACATAGAAGAATATGTAGGCTTAAGGGACCATAGTGAAGAGACAAACACACGGTGACTCAGAGCAGCCGTGTGTTTTCCCATTAGGTAATACTCAGAGATAGAAAGTGCTCTAAGCAGCTAAATGACTACATTCTATAAGTCACCCAGTGGCCCAGGTTATTTTCATCTTCTTGCTCTGCCATTGCCACTCTCCTGGACATTGTCCCTGTTGATTTGTCAAAGCAGGGTCACTGCCATATTTATATTTCTGCCTTCAGAGAGGAAAAAGTGGTGGAAGAGACCTTTGATGTTTTACACTAAGATCCAGAAGACCTATTCTGGGTCTGAACCTAGTTTATGTTCCTGGCGACACCTAACTGTTGGCCTATGGGTCTGGAAAAAGCAGTCTTTGAGAACCATGTCTATCTAGTAACCTAGCACTAGGAGGGAGGGAGTAGATGAGAGGAATAACCAGCAGGTCGCCACAAGGTAACTGCTGATCAGCTAGGCGGACTAGATGATCTGTTCAGCCCAGAAACTTGGACTGGCACCTCACATGCAGCGATGTTAGGCTTCACACAGGATTGAGGGATGACTTAGCTACCACCTTTGTCCTCAAATACAGTCTGAGGAGGCTGAAGTCTTCAGAGGTGAGCAGAAACTCCACACGTGGAAGGTCTGTGAGGAAAGCTGGACAGAACAAAGATTCCCAAAGGTACTGAGGCAGGGGCCTGACTCACAGTGCTACATGCAGCATGCACTTAGTAGTGAAGAAGTTAGCATTTTGCAACATGGCTTAAGCATGCAGGCTCTGATCTTTTCATTCTTAGTGATCACATGCTCTTGGATGAAGAGGATTCCTACAGAACCTGGGCTTTGGGTCAGGCAGGTCTGGGTCAGCCCTGGCTGTGTCGTTTCTTTAGAGGCAGTGACCACAGACAGATTATTTAGCATCCCTGAGGCTCTGAAGTGACTCGGGACTAAGTGGTGTCTAAGACTCTCTCAGCTAGACTACTGTAGATGGAATTCTAAACGCTTTTATTAAATAAACACAGAGTCAAATGCAGAGTTAAAAGCCCAGAGATCAGAGCAGTAGCCAAGAGCTAAGACCACCTTATCTTACCACTCGCTGCCGTCCTTCCCCTGAGAGAGAGAGACCTTCTTCCTGTGTCCTGTCTTTTTATTGCCTTTCTGTTCTGCTTTCTCATGATTTCCTCGTCTGTTTATACAGACCTCCAGGTCTCTATGGTTGGTACTGGGATTAAAAGTTCAGGTCACCTTGCTTTGGATGTGTCCTTGACCACAGAGACTCTGCCTGCCATGTGATCGGATTAAGGGCGTGTGCTACCACCGCCTGACTCCTGCTTATGGCTTGCTGTGACTTCTGATCTCCAGGCAACTTTATTAACATACAAATAAAATCACATTTCAGCACAAATAAAATATCACCATAGACTATTCCATGGTTCTCAACACTGTAGAGCGGGGGTCAGGAGCAGAGCAGCCAGCAGTTCAAGCCCTCCTTCCTGAATAGTTTTGTACAGTTTTTCTGATACAGCAGTTGTTGAGGCTGTATTCATTACTCCACGAGGCAAACTTCCAGTCTCGGAAACAGGCATAGCCTCTCTTGTGTGTCCACTCATTGCCAAATTGTGAACACCCCCATGGTCCTTTCTTCTCTCCATCTGGCCAAAGTGAAGGTACCCAGAGCTCTGCGAGGGTGTCCCCCAGCCTCTAAATTACCCTTCTCATCACCTCTTTACTATATGGATGCTGTCCTCAGTGCCAGCACCTTGGTTAGTCCAGACAAGCTAAGGGTCAGTTGTAATCATTCACACCAAGACCTGAATGGCTAGATTTAATATGTCACCACTGTCTGGGATATTCTGCTTTTTTCAAAGGATGGTGCTAGTCTTTCAAATCAGATAACTAGTGGTACAGATTCTAAGCCCTTGAGTTCTTACCAGTGAGGGAGAAAATTAATTTTTGAGCTGAGGGTTTTTCCTGCTTGAGTGGGAAGGGCAGGGTGATAAAGAGAAAGGAAATGGAGATAGAGATAGAGACAGGGTGGAGATGACAGATGGGTGGGTGGGTGGGTAAATGGAATGACAATGTGGCAAAAGGCACAGGATCTGGGCCCAGACAGTCTGGAGTGTATCTCAGCTAAATCCTTTGCTGTCTAACTTTGGGGAAATTTCTCAGCCTCACTCTTTCACCAGTGAAAATGGAGATCCAAGTAGACTACTTCACTGGGTAGCTGTGGCAGGAAATGAGCTTCCACGTGAGGAGAGGTGTGGAGGGAAGGCTTCACCCAGTGGTTGTGTGGTGGGGACCCCTCAGAAAGCCACCCCAGTCTGGCTGTGAGCCGGCCTGTGACGGAATTTTGATTATTTCCTTCACCCAGGTTGGACTGAACCTAAGGTCCCCAGAACGTCACCACTTCACGTTGTCATCCTATCGTGCATCGTTGCTTTAATCTTCCTAGCTGCAGTGATGGCCCTGAGAAAGAAGCTCTGTGGAAAGCTGTGTTCTAGAAATAGGTGAGTGACCCACACACAGTAGGAGCTTGTGAGCCGAGGTGTGAGTCGAGGTGTGAGCCTCTGCTTGACTCACAGCAACCTGTGACCTACCAGTCTCCACTGCAAAACTTCAAGCCTAGGAGGACTTTGAGACTGCCCTGGGGACTTTTTACCTACTCCAAGAAGAAAATTCAGGGAGCTGAACCCATACAGAGATTTCTTTTTTTTAAAAGAGGATGTTCGTTTCTGTACTGAAAGAGGTTGCCTTGTGCTCGGAGCCTCCAGAGTGCTGTCTGGGTAATACAGGTGGCATTTGCTGGTGAGAGGTTGCCAGGAGCCTCTCTGAGGATTCTGTTAGCTTCTCGTTCTGGGCATGAGTTGGGTTAAACCTCCCTGGTCTCCTAGGAATCCACCCCTTCTGTCTGGGTAAGGAATGGAGAGAGAGAGGCTTGGGAGCCTTCTCAGTTTGGGGAAGTCTTTGTGACCATCGGCTTAGCCTGGGCCTTCTCATCATTTGCTCCTCTTCTACTGGACCCGCTGGGGCTGGGGTATGCCTGCAGCTTCATGTCCTAAATAGAGCTGTTCTTGTGTCTGTCTGTTCCTCACTTCCTGGAAAAAGACAATCTACAAAATCCCCAGGATGTATGTAGGGCTATCTGGTGCTTTGCTTAGCAGCACCTAGGCAGTCCCCGGTGAACTTCTTTCCACATCTACACTGGCTTTCTGTCAGAAAGGAAATGGTGTCTTTGACTAATGCATTTGGAGTGGGCAGCACCAGCCAGGCGGGGCGGGGCAGTGGGGACGGGGGAGGTTTTGGAGGCTGTCATCCTACACTGATGGGGACCTCATCTCACCTGTTGAAGTCCCATGTGTTTTGTCCATTGCCCTTTGTGTGCATTATCCGGGCTGACCACGAAACCTTTAACTGTAGAATTCAAGGAACTGTTGTCAAAAGAAAATATGATCTCAGCATTCAGGGGGAGGTGGGGACTGGAGGACGGAGCTGTCAAAGGCAGCCTGGGCTACTCAGTGAAGCCTAGCCTCAGGAGAGAAACTGTAAGGAGGAGGAAGGAGAAAGGGAGAGGGAAGACCAGTAAAGGGGGGTGGAGGGAAAGAAAGTGAAGGGAGGGAGGGAGAAAGGAGAGAGAAGAAAGGACACAGGAGAGAAGTGAGAGGAAGAGACAGAGAGGCAGGCGGGAGGTTTTTGTTTTTAAGTACTCAGGAAGGGAGTGGAAGAGCAAAGAAAGAGGAAACACTGAGTTTGTTCAGCAGGACTTTGGTTTTTACATAAAGTCCTCTCTGTCAACCCCTTGATCTCGGACTGCTGTGGCAAGCGAAGCTCGCTCAAGTCTTATGTCCTGCCCTTCACACTGATCTTACAAGCCGAGTTCCTGGCCTGGGGCCTGAGAACTCCTAGTCACTTCGAAAGGACAGCTTAACCATTCACAATAGTCAAGTTATGGAATCAGCCCAGGTATCTATCCATCAGTGGATGAATGGTTAAAGAAACTGTGATGTGTGTTCACAATAGAGTACTAGTCAACCATAAAGGAAAATAAAATGATGTCATTTTCAGGGGGGGTGAATGAACCTAGAGGTCATCATTTTAAACCCAACTCAGACAGTGCAGGCAGGTATTATATTTCCTTTCATATACAGATTCTAGGTTAAAAAATAATACATGGACAGGGTACCTGCACAAGGGGAAAGGAGGTACAGGTCGGTGAAAGGGAATGGATATGATTGAAGTGCATTGTATATGTGTGTGAAAAGCCATTATGATTAGGCTGGAGAGATGGCTCACAGAGGACCTGAGTTCCATTCCCAGCACCCACATCAGGGAGCTCACAATCGCCTGTAACTCCAGCTCTAGGGGATCTTATGCCCTCTTCTAGCCTCCCAGGGAGCTAAGTCAGTCCACCAAAGTGCCTGATTTGAGCTGTTACTGAGGGTCTAGAGTGTAAGGGATTGACTGTGACAACTGTGGCTAAGACAGGAAGTCCCACCTACCACTTCAGCCATGTATGTCTTGCACTGGGACCAGTGGCAAGTGGCATGTGAGGAGGCCTTAACTGTAATCCACTTCCACTGTGGTATATAGTTCTCTAGTCCTGCCTGGTAGAATCTCCGTTTCCTCCAGGTATCTACAGCCACTGTGCAAAGGTCTCCTTGCCAGAGCAGATCCCCATGAAGACCACATTAAACTGTCATGGCTGAAGAGGTAGGAGGGGCTTCCCGACTTTGCAGCAGCTGCACCATTAGCCCCTTCCACACTAGACCCTCATGAGGAACCTGAGTCAGGAGCCTTAACTTGTCCTTCTTCAGTTCTTTTTGGGGCCATTGTTGTCCTGAGACTGAAGTAAAAAAGATCGAGAAGTCTCTATCCCTTTCTTTCCAGAAGTCTCCTCGGCCCTTATACAGATTCACCCACCTGAGTATCACAACTCATGGTGCCTACTGGAGGACAGCCATTCCTGGTCCATAAAATGTCTTATTAACCATTCCTTGCAAAGAGCCATTCAATAGTTCAAAGATCCAGAGCGACATGATGTGTTCCAGAGAAGACATTGGCAAATTCACTGGCAAAAATATCAAGTTCTGTTATAGCTAGGCCTAAGTTTCATGAATGTGAAAACTGTGTTTCTCTCATCAATAGATATATTTGCAATATCTAAAAACATTATCTGGTATGTGTAAGATGATGCTTAATAAAACTGTAAGTTTTTTCTATTTCTTATTCTATTTGTATACATACATGCGTATGTATGTATGTATAATGAATTGTAGACATTTCATCCCCCATTCCTCACTCTTATTCCTCTCCCTTTCCTATGGACATTCTTCCCAACAAGCCCCTCCTCTGCTTTCTTCTTTCTGTGTGTGACTCACTGAGTTTAGTTGGAGTTGCTTGCAGGAGCATGGGAGGAAGTTATTTAAAGAAAAGTCAACATGTCAGTAGCCACACCACTGAAGAAAATGACACCAATCATCAACCGCCAATAGCCCCTTAGAAGGGGGTGGGCACCGTGGCCTCCTCTCTTATCCATGATGAAATGTTGACAGGACCAGTCTTATGCAGGTCTTGAGTGGATAGCCATGCTATGCTGGGTTCCTGAATGCAATGGCTATGTCAATCTTTTTGTTGCACATCTCCCCACCCTCTGTCCCTTACATTCCTTCTTTCCCCTTCTTCTATAATGTCCCCTGAGCCTTGCAGGGGGTGATATAGATATCCCATTTAAGGCAGAACGCCCCACCATTGCTTACTCTTGGACTCTGGCTAGTTATGGGTCTCTGCAGTGCTCACTAGAATCATAGACATTGATTCTACAGTCTGCTATCTGAAGGTGAGCACTCGAGACCTGCTCGGACTGATATAACAGCCATCTGTGGCCATTTGAGTTTAGGACTTAGTAGCCATATTTAAAGCATTTACACATGGTAGCTAGAGGCTGCAATAGCGGACACTATAGATACCCAACATTACCATCACTGCAGGGAATCCTATTGCATGGTACTGTGAGAAATCCCTTCTAAGCGCCTTTTCTCTTAATTACGAGTTTTGCCTAAGGCAGGGAATGGCACCTTTATTTTTCCCAAGCGGGAACTGAGGTTCTGAAAAGCCATGTGAAAAAGAAAAGAAAAGCCATGTGGTCTCCCAAAGTCACACAACATAGACTCGAATGCAGATCCATAGGTCTGTCAGACTCTAAAACTTGTGACCTTTTCATGACAAACCAGTTTAATAAAAACTAGCAATATGGATAGTATTATCCATAGGAGGGAAGAACAAGTCTTAATCTAAAGAACTGAGTGGACTGTCATTCATATATTGGGCTAGTCACAAAGCCAAATCAGAGTCCCATAGCAGTTACCTGCCACAGAGTCTAGATTTATAGAATTTATTAACTATGGGTGACCTAAATGAATGAGGATTCCAAAAAACTTGGCAAATGACCAATAACCAGTTCAAAGTGAAATGTATAGTGAATCTGGTGTTTGTTGGTGCTTACCCATGCTGCATCACATCGCTTCGTTACCACGTGGTTCTGAACATGCAGCACAGTCACTTTATACCCTGCAAGCTGTCACAACAATGCAGCACCAAGGACTGCTGCAGAAACCATGGTCTGCTTCGAGACTGTTGTGTGTTATGATTTGCAGTGTTTTTATTGAACATACATACCTTACTGAAATATAATGCTTTAATTACAAAAAAAAATTATTTTGTTTCTTTTTTCAAGAAAGGGTCTCACTAGAAAGCTCTAGCTGTCCTGGAACTCACTCTGTAGACCTGGCTAGCCTGGATCTCATTGCCTGTCTCTGCTTCCCAAGTGCTGGAATTAGAGGTGTGTGCCACTACATGTCACACAAAACACTTTTAATATTTTTCTACCGTCAATCCTCAGCATATATCAAACTCGTATAACTTTTTATTTAGCTGCGTTAGAAAATGGGGGTTGAAAGTAGAAAAGTCTGGAACAAGTCTTCAGATCTTGAGAACTGTGTTTCCCAAACTCTGGGCAAGAACCAGGTTTTGTGTGTATGTCATGTGTGTGTGTTCAGTTTTCAAAGTGTTCTTGGTACCTTCATAATCTACACTGTAAATGAATTCTTAAAAACTGCAATGGAAAGCCAAGTCTGTAATCCTAGGCTCAGGAGGCTGAGGCAGGAGAATTTCCTGTTTGAGATCAGCTAAGGCTACATAGTTTGAGGTCTGTATGTAATGAAAAAACACAAGAACATAGTAGTTCCAACTTTTATTCATATTTTATTTTATCCATGTATACATGCAGGTGTGTGTGTGTGCACACACATACGTGTGCAGGTGTGTGAGTACATACATGTTCATGCATGACAGGGGCACATGTCTATGCCTGTGTGTAGAATACTGATATCAACCTCGGGTGCCATATACCTTGTTTTCTCCACACAAAGTGTCCCCCTGAGATTTGAGGCTGGCCACTGAGCCCCAGAGATGCATTTGTCTCCGAAGCATGTGCTACCACACTCAGCTTTTC